ATGGAAAATTCCAAAGATTGTGTGTATTTCATGGATATATTTCATCTTAAACTATTTTATGGGTATTGAAGAATGTATTTTTTATTGTACATTCAAATTGGAATTTTTGTCATCCTCTTCTTTCTCTTCAAAAACACTGTTTCTTCTTATGTTCAAGCTCTAATATATATTTATGTATTCATACATATGAGTTTAAAATAACTATTTTACTAATGCTTCTTAAAATGACAGTGTTTTAGAAGGGAATATGTTCATGTGAGTTTACATAAAACCCAAAGATCTTTTTTTGGTTCTTAGTGTTTAGAAGATTCTTGATAATTTAGAATATTCCACAATGGAAAGTAAAGCATTCTGTCACAAAAGCAGGGAGGATGAGACACAGGGTCAAAGGGCATCTTGGAAACAAACAGCTGGACCAGTTTATTTAAACAGATACAGGGATGGGGGAACTGACCTCTGTTTGACTTATAGTGGGAGGAGCAAGTATGTCATTTTATTACTTTGCCCAGAAGGAAAATGTTTTCCTATCTGAATTCAACCCAAGCCATCTAAACACATGACCTTGCTGTATATAGCTAATTCCAAAGACAGTACATATAAGACAGTCGAGGAAACTCATAAAATACACCGAAGATAGTCAAATGTTGGAATGGTTTTAGAATTGAAAAGCTGTTTTTAAAAATAAAATATTTTGCTATTTATTCAGTTATTTTCAGATAAAGATGTCTACCATGACCCCAGATAATACTATGTGTTTCATATAAATATAGGAATTATAATTCAGTAGCCTTCTGAGAGTTTACTATGTCCTCCATGTAATGATAATGTACATCATATTGAAACAAATGTTGTTTTTAATTAAAGTTTACAAAAGTGAGGACTTCCAAGTATACCTACTAATGTGGTCAAGAAGTTTGGATAAAGTGGTAAGTGTCCTTAGGTTTTCAAGGTTTTAAAATTTTTAGTTAAAGAAAGGATTCCCACCTTTATACATACATATCCTTTAGGTAGCCCACATCTGTGTTGTCAATAACAACAAATGGTTATTGCCACCCAAAGAGAAGCAACTAGCATTCTATACCTGGGCTTAACTAACAGGCTGGGGTGAGATGTTTGCTCTCTCCATGGGGACCTGAGCTGCCCTGAAGTCGCTGCATTTAGTGTTGCTTGCAGAGGCATGCAGACAGACTCAGCATTTTGAGCAGAGTGGCCCAAGGGGTGAGTGGACTCAAAATCCTAGAACTCACATTCTGGAAGGAATTTGTTAGGAATCACGGATGTTTAACATAGGGAGAAGAGGGGAGATCTGTGGGGCAGAGTGGTTATAGTTCTGATGTTTGAAAGGCTATCTGAAGAAGTGAGATTGGAATTGTTTAAATTACCCCCAAGCAGTTGTCCTGGTGAAAGAATTTTAGATCAGGTAAGACAGAACCTTCTAACAGTTTTGTCTGTAGAGGAAATGGGCTCCCTGGTAAGGTGACCAGGGCTGTATTAGAAATAGGCCAGCACACAGAGAACAGACTTGTGTTTACCAAGGAAAGGGCTGGGGAGTAGGGAAGCGGGGAAGGGATGAACTGGGAGTCTGGGGTTAGCGGATGCAAACTAGTATATATAGAATAGATAACCAACAAGGTCCTACTGTATAGCTCAGGGAACCTTATTCAGTAGCCTGTGATAAACCATAATGGAAAAGAATATGAAAAAGAATGGGTACTGGGAAGACCCAGAGGGATCGGGTGGAGAGGGAGGTGGGAGGGGGGAACGGGATGGGGAATACATGTAAATCCATGGCTAATTCATTTCAATGTATGACAAAAACCACTGCAATGATGTAAAGTAATTAGCCTCCAACTAATAAAAATAAATGGAAAAAACATAAAAATAAAAAAATAAAACATTTAGCTCTTCTCAAAAAAAAAAAAGAATGGGTAAATGTGTATAACTGAGTCACTTTTCTGTACAGCAGAAATTAACGCAACATTGTAAATCAACTATACCTGAATAAAATAAATTAAAAAAAAAAAAACAGTCTAGCAGAGTCTACCCATCAACCCGGTAGGGGTATCAGAGAGAGGGGATTCGTGTCAGTGACCAAGCTAAGTGATGATTGAACCTGATAGGTGACTTTTCCAATCCCATGGGTTAACTGTCATAGATTCAGACCTGAGATGGTCATGAACTGGTCTTTGGAAATATGAAGGTATGAGTGTGAAGGAGGCAAGCTTTGGAATATAGATAACCCAATTTGCTGAGTCTTTTTATGCATAGTTTTTTTTTTTTTTTTTTTTGGTCTTTATACACAAGTAATACAGTCATCAAAATCCCCAAGTCTCCAAAATGTTGTCATGCTTATTCCTGGACTCAACAGTGAGGTTGTCGCCAGTGGTCACTGGCTCAAAATCAGCTCATGTTTAGATATCTATTTAGTCTAGAATATTCTAGATGGGTGGCACAGTAGTGGCCAAGCTCTGGTCAGGACATTGTGGTGGTGAGTGGGGTATGCTTGCTACCATTTGCCAAATTATTAACATCTCTTGGGTTACATGTGACCTCAAATAAGTCACTTAATTTCTCGGAGCCTTGGCTTCTCATCTGTTAAAAAAGACTCTTCCTATTTTTAGATAAGTAATATATGTCCATAAAATATTATGTTTTTAAAAGAACTTGAAAAAAGTTATCAGAGTTCCCTTCAAGAGAATGCAGATTTTGAATAATACCATAGATAAAGAGGCATTTTTGCTCTCTTACCTATGTTAGTTACTATGAAAATTACTTTTGGTATATGCAGAATATTAATATTAAATAATTTTCTGATTGGTCATGCAGTGAAGGCAGCTAATGAAAAAGCAGATTTTTTTTTCATTTTAATTGGTTATTTCACATGGTGTTTGTGCTACACCTGTGCTTATAATGAGAATGGAGAATTAATCTAACCTTCTGCTCACATGATTCCAATTTTCATGGTTTATACAAGATAATGATAACCTGATTTGCAACACAATTTGTTGTAGATCTGTGTTTTAAATATTTTTATTAGAACTTTGGAGACTTCATATATGAGAACCAATTTAATATATGTTGTCAAAAAGAGTTAACACCAACCAATGTCTTTTTAGTTAGATTCTAGTTTCATTTGTTATTTTAATTACTTCTAAGATAAAGAAAGAATGTAAGGATATAAGATGTTGAGAATCTTAAAATGTCATGAAGTATGCATTTTTTAATTTAAAAAACCTATGCCTGTCTCTTTGAAAGTGAAAGTTGCTCAGTTATGTCCAACTCTTTGCAACCCCGTGGACTATACAGTCCCTGGAATTCTCCCAGCCAGAATACTGGAGTGGGTAGCCTTTCCCTTCTCCAGGGGATCTTCCCAACCCAGGGATTGAACCCAGGTCTCTCACATTACAGGTGGATTCTTTACCAGCTGAGTCACAAAGGAAGCCTATCTGTTTAATGGCTTGTTTTTTAGGAACTGTTTTCCTTCCTGAATGGGCAGACTTACCAACTAGGATTCATGCTGGAATGGAGGTCCTTTATGTATTTTTTTTTAAGTTTGTGGCAGCACTGCATACCATGTGGGCTCTCGGTTCCCCAACCAGGAATCGAACTCACATCCCCTGCACTGGAAGTGCGGAGTCCTAACCACTGGACTTCCAGGGGAGTCCCTAGACTATGGGTCCTTTAGTTATTAACAGAACTGTATTAAAATCTTCATTGTATTTTTTTATGTGGAACTCATGTTGGATATAAACTTTCCAGGTAGATCAGTGGTAAAGAATCCGCCTGCAATGCAGGAGACATGGATTCAATCCTTGGGTCAGGAAGGCCCCCTGGAGAAGGAAATGGCAACCCACTTCAGTATTCTTGCCTGGGAAATCCCATGGACAGAGGAGCCTGGGTGGGCTACAGTCCATGAGGCCTCAAAGAGTGGGACATGACTTAGCAACTGAGTATGCATGCATGTTTGTTTGATATACTCAAATCTGAGTTGAGAACTAAAAGTAATGTACTATTTCAGAATCTAATATGTCGGATTCATTTTATGTATTTGATGTGAAATGCTTAGTATTACAGGGTGCAAAGAGCTCTTAAGAGAGAAATTTCATGAGCATAGCTTTGGAGAGCTTGTTCTAACCACTTGTTAAAATTTTCAGTGACTAGCCACTTTTGTAGGGGCTACAAATATTGTAAAAAGAAATCTTATTAAGACACTTAAGTGTCTTAAGATGTTTATTATACATGTTCAGGAGTAGCTGGAGAAAGCAATATTATAAGTTCAATTACTGTATAGCCATGACCTTGCCTTGACCTCAGACTTGGCATGAAGAGCGTGCGCGCGCACATGTGCGCGTGTGCACACACACACACACACACACACACACACACAAAGCCACCCCAAGAATTCTCTACCAGGAATGCATTTCTCTGAAGTCTCCAGCAGTGTGAGTTAGTGGTGATAAACTCCAGACATTTTTTCATGTGATGGTGTGCTGTCATCCTGGTTCATTATCTTAATAGTGGGCATTAAAATAGAATTAGGTTTGTAAGAGGTAGGGAAGGTTTTGATAAAAATTGTAAAAAAGAAGTCAGAGAACAGAAGATTGAAATGTCACTAATTAGGAGAGGGAACAGATGCCCTTGTGACCATCTCTCTCGCAACACCAAATTTCCCCTCTTGCAGTTGAAAAGAATGGTGGCCAGTATTGTTTCCTGAAAACTCTGCTAATTCCCCTATGAAAAGATGAAATGGAAGTGTCCAACTGTGGTAAAACAGGCAAACATAAATCAACTCAGAAACCCTGAGCCTGTGTACTCAGAGGTCACTGGGGGTTACAGGTTTTGCAGCATGTGAAGCTGCACCGAGAGCGATGGAGAGAACCATTTTGCCCAGACCGAGCTTTGCTCTCACTGTGATCCATCTTCTCTTTCCCCTCCACCTCCCACCGCCCCCACTTTCTGTTTTTAAGGAATAATGATTTGGTCTACTTTCTTGGTTACAG